GAGGATTTCAAGAATAGGATACCACATGATGCTGCGTGTCAGGATTGAGGTTGCATTGGCAGAGCTGTGGGGAGAGCTCAGGACTGAAAGAGCAGGGGGTGCATGTCAGGATTGAGGGGCATTGGCAGAGCTGAGTGTGAAATCCAGGACCAGGATAGCAGGGGTTGCTGCAGGACAGGACTGAGAGTCATCAACAAAGGATATGTGGGAGTGTGGGGGTATGTACAGAACAGCTCCTGCTCTGCCTATCACTGGCCAGCCCCTACTTTGGTTTTCATCGTCATGGATTCTAAACTCATGTTCACTTTCTTTTGCAAAGGAAGAGCAGAGAATCTCTGCATCACATGGAGAGGATGTAAGATAAGGGGATGCACCTGAGACGTTGCTGGAAGAGGCAACTATCTAGGGATTACAGGAGGAGATATTTTAGCTGTGTGACAGAGATTAGAGTTGCATGGTTTCTTTTAAGGAGGAGGATTTGGGCAAGACTCCCTGTCTCCATAACAGTGGTGACTGGTGTGGGAGATATATCCAGGAACAGGAACATACCATGAAAACTGACAATGAGAAACATGCCGAGTGAGATTATGAAATGAAAGAGGAGCTAAATGAGATTTAAAAAAACACCTTTAGAAGACTAAAACAGCATAAGAGCTAGGTGTGGAGTGAAAGGAGGAGGCTCAAATCCATAAGGCCAGCAACACAATAGCAGCCTTGAGGATCTGTGTAACACAGGAGACACCCCAAACTGGTGGTATGTTCCATAATCAGATTTAATTAACGCAGTGACAGGTGGAACTCCTGGATCACTGTAACAGTCTTACCATGGAGTCACAGACTGTCCCCTTGGGCACTCCAGTGTTTCTTGGCACCCAGGCAAGATGGACTCAGTGATAAATGGTTAGTTACACCAAAAATCACAAAATATTCAGGTTCCTTCCAGTCCCAAGAAACCAGTCACTTATCCAACATCAATTTGTACCTTAGAAGTCACACCGAAGTCAACACTTGTAGCCAGTCTTGTAATGAATTAGCTAGAGGTTTATTAACAAAGAAAAATAAATGAGAGTTATTTACAGTTTAAAGCAAGCAAACGTATATGCACAAATGAGCTTCAGTCTGTGATTCAAAAGGTGACAGAGATGTAGTAATCAGTCACCACTAAATGTCTTTTTAGGGCTTAACTCAGGTTGACCTTGGGGCCCTCTGCTTTTTGTTTCTTAGCTCCAGCCCTTGTAAGAGTCCAAACAGCACTGAAATCTATGGAATAAGGCCTTATGTATGTACTTCTCCATGGATTGATGGACCGATTAACAAAGCTTTTGTCCTATGATGGCCCACTTAATTTTGATAGTCCTTCTGGATGGGCGGGGGAGTCACTCTTCCCATTTGAGTTCACAAATTCAGAGCAGGCATTTGCACAATTACAAAACAAACTTATATTTTACCATTTACCGTAGCATGGAATACAGACATTACAAGTGAGATTAATGCACACAACAACTTACAAGCCTTTCATAGAGTCTAAACTCTAAATACATTCTTATCAGACTGTTTTGAAGAAAACTAGCATACAGGTGAGCTGGTTTGGTTTCCAGCTATGAGTTTGTCAGTTCTTAGCTAATGCATATGGCCTTGGCCAGAGTTGGCACTTGGTTTACCAGCATCACAACCTCCTTACACCATCCTTCTGCTTCTCAAAGGGCAGCAGAGGAACACGTGATGCCATCAGTATGTGCTCCATATTGTGAAGACATACCTATAAAAGCTTGTCAGTTACATTTGGGCTATGGTTGAAAAATTGTTTTTCTGGCCCACACAAATACGTTATAGCTGCATTTTGGATACAGCAGAGTGGTTGCAAAATGGGTATCAATGAGACCAGAGAGGAGGAGGAGGTAAAAGCAGTCAATATGGGGAATGCTCAGGGCCTGAAAATATGTTTTGGTTGTCTGGGCAGAGAGAAGGGTCAGGTAACTGATAAGTTGTGGAGGAAGAAGCGGGAGGATTTGGACACAACTGGGACGAGAGTAGTCAAAGACGTTGCCCAGTGTTCAAGTTTGGGTGAGAGGGAGGGTGATGCTGTCAAAAGCAAAGGAGAGTAAGTTAAGATGAGAAGGGTTAGGAGGAAGAATAAGGAATTCAGTTTTAGCCATATTAAGAATGAGGGACTAGCACGCTGTTCAGGAAGAGAGTTTGGAAACAGTCAGAAATGCAGGACTAGACAGAGGGAACCAACTCAGGCATGGAGAGTCAAATCAGGTCAAGTCAAAGGTTGTAGTTTTGAGGGAAAAGGATGTTAGATGAGAGAGGGGAAGAGGTCAAAGGTGGAACAAGCTCTCAGGAGAACATGTCAGAGCTCAGGGTGAAACAGAACTGTGACTTGCAGGATGGCTTATGACAGCTCAGGCTATCCCAGCCATAGGATACAGATGCAGAAGAGTTACCTGAACAGAATAAGGGTAAATGTTGCCTGCGGGAGATGTCTTTGCTACAACATGTTTTATGTCTGGAGCATCCTCACCAACATTCACATTTCCTGGCTGTCTCTGAATTCAATTCAAAATCAGACTTTGGTTTTCAGATCTTCTCCCAACTCACCTGATCTTATATCCACTTGCTGCCCCATGCAGCCCAATCTGTCTCCCATTGCTCCCTCTAAATAAAGCTGTGCCTTTCCCTCTGCTCCCCTTGCACGAATGCCCTCAGTCCCAGCTCTCCTTTGTTATGCACCCTGATGTTCTTCACTTGTTTTTCACTTAACATTCCTTCTCCCTGGAAGATAGTTTGTGTTATTGGGTATGGAGGAAACTGCATATACATGCATTGTATTTTATTGCATTGCATGGTGTTGTATTGCATTATACTGTGTTGTTTCAGAGTAACAGCCGTGTTAGTCTGTATTCGCAAAAAAGAAAAGGAGTACTTGTGGCACCTTAGAGACTAACCAATTTATTTGAGCATGAGCTTTTGTGAGCTACAGCTCACAAAGCTCATGCTCAGATAAATTGGTTAGTCTCTAAGGTGCCACAAGTACTCCTTTTCTTTTTGCATACTGTGTTGTGTCTCATTGCAATGTTTTGCATGGTACTATATTATACTACACTGGATGATATTACAATGAAATGTATGGTATTGCATTGTATTACATTATAATGTGTTGCAGAACACTGAGTATTCAACATTGCACAAAGCCAGGCCAGCCAGCCAGCTTTCCGCACGAGTGAGACATCCTATCCAAATCCTACACTGCTATGGAAAAGATTTCTGGAGTAATGTTGCTACTTTGTGACCACATACTTTTCTTGCAAAGATGTAGCAACATCTTAGACTGCATTCAGGAGCTGGAAAAATTCCTTTATGTATTTAGTACCAGCAGAGAATTGCCTGATATCCACACTCCACACATTTCAATGAACAGGCAGTGCCACCTGCCTCCTGGGCTATATCATACAAACACCTGTGTCAATTTTCCTTTGCTAGCTCAGTGGAATTGCTTCTTCAGAGATGGTTTGGTTTGGATTACAGATGGGTATTTATCTATCCTCTCTTCATAAGTGTAACTATCTCCCAGTTAACAGCAATGTATCTCCTTACATGCAGGTTTGCAAAACAGCTCACTAATGGCAAGTATGTTTCAGACCACCCCAAGTGCTCCTGCATTATCCCTTTGGCCAGAGGTGGTAGAGCAACTACTTCCAGTATTGATGGGAGGGGAAGGCAAGAGAGAGCACACACTGATACCTGTGGTCACACATCTACGTTACACATCAGGGATGTGTGAGTTTCATCCCCTCTCCTCCCACAGGCTCTACAACCCCCCAAAGGCACCTCCCTGTGCAGATACTGAGAGGGACATGAGGATGCAGCAGCTCCTCTCTCTGCTAATGGGGCTACTGGTCACTGACCTCTCAAGTGAGCCTAGGGTGCCCTACAGCAGCCACCTGGGTGGGGTCAGGCTCCCTGGAGAGGTTTCATCACTCCACAAGATGTCCAGCTTTGTCTTTCAGGTGCATAGGGCAGATTAGTGGAGCAGTCAGTTAAACAGCAAGAGCAGATGGACTAACACCAGTAGTGGGGAGACCCGTCAAGGTAGACTCCCCTTAGTCTATGTTAGGGGCACCATTATCTTTCCCATCAGCAGTAGCCCCATCACATCTCCCACTCTGAACACACCACTACCGCACTCTCTCACAGGCTTCCCACACACAGGATACACCTGCACTTCATTGTGTGTACTCTCTTCTGTTTTCCACACATGCTAATCAGTTCTGACAGCTGGTCACTAGATGGAGCCACAATCAAACGCACAAACTGGTGTGTTACACTGACACTCCCCAGGCTGGTCAGTGCCCTCAGCACACGATGCGTAATTTGCTCAGAACTGGAACCTTTAGCCAGATGCATTTATGGGGAAATTGACCGCAATAGCTATCCAGACTAACTTCTCTGACAAAGCCCCAGAGACGGTGGTTCTTCTTGTGTCTTTATCCTACTATGCAGAATACAGACATAGAGACACTTGCACTGGCATACATTCTTAAAGAGAGATAACATAAAAAACAATCATTTTGAATATAAAAAACTATACTAAGCAATGAGTATAATCCACATTCTGTGCATTGTGACACCTTGGTATCTGAAGCCCCTAGAGCCTGAGCCAGGGTGACTCTAGTCATGTTTCAGGAGTCTATGTTCATAGTTAGAATTTGTGATCTGCTACATGATCACATGTGACATCTACTCTGATGGCATCTTCCCCAACAACATTTCTCAGGAGAAATTCTCACTCCTGCATTAGCAGCAGGAAAGCATCATCCGGGAGAAGGGGACCAGACATGAGTCTCCAGGACATTCATGAAACTGGCCTTTCAGAAAGCAGAATGAGATGAACCTTTCCTCTGCAGTGACACCATGTTGACTTGACTCCTCCCACTGAAGAATGTATTTGTCTGTCCCTTCTCACTTCCCTTGAAGCACAGAGAGAAGGAAACCCCGAGCATGGAGGAGACAGAGCAGAGTAAAGCTGACATCATGTTGAGATATCTCCTGCTCTCTGCACTGCTTCTCTGGGCCCCAGGTACTGTTTGAGTGGCCACGGGGATGGGGTGGGGCAGGCAGGCTCAGAATCTCAAGTTGAAGGGACACATTCTCGTCATTGAGACTAAGGTGTGAGGGGATCTCTGGAGACTGCATCTGCTTAGAAATGCTGGGAGGAACAGAGAGAACCACCCAGGAACAAGGACTTGTGGGTAAAACACCCAACTCAGAGTGTCTGACCCAAGAGTGAATCCTAGATAGGACACACTTAGCGCATATCCCATGAATTCACTGTATAGGGAAGTCAGCTCTCAGCCAAGAATCTCCCACAATGACTCCTGTTTGGCTGAACAGTGAAGATAACTGTCCTGTTTTTCATTTTAGCTTTTATTCTGCTTCTCAATTTTTTTACCCTCTTTCTCTCCTTCTGACTTTCCTTCTTTCCCTTCCTTCCTCCCTGTTGCACTTTTTCATCAACTTGTTACCATCTGTTCTATCATATTGTTTCCTATTTCCTTCCAGGTGTAGGCTCGGCCTACGTGGAGCAGCTGCCCTTCCTCACAGGGGTTCTAGGAGAATCCCAAACTCTGCAGTGTACATTGAAAGAAACCAGCCACTACTGGATGTACTGGTACTTGCAGCAGGAGGCAGAGGAGCTAGGGCAGCTCTTCTATTCTTCAGGAGATGGATCTGGGACCAACTTCACAGCTAAGCCCATGTCAGCCTGGAGGAAGAACAACAATTGGCATCTACAATGGAAAAAGCTTTCACGGTCAGACTCAGCTGTGTATTACTGCGCCTGCAGCACTGCACAGTGACACAGAGCCCTGGGACAGCCAGCAAAAACCCAGAGAGACAGAGACAGGGGAGGAGATAGGGAAGCTGTGTGCGCCTAGGAGTCGAAAGGACACTGTAGGGCAGTGGTTCCCAGATGAAGTGTCTGGGATATACAGAACATCTCCCAAAGGGGTGCAAAGAGCCCCTGGAGCCCCCATCCTAGATCACTGACCTGGTCACACACTTGAGATGTGACTTGGGCTCTATTAATAACAATGGGAGTTTTGCCACTTGATTTCAATGGGGCCAGGACTTCACTGTTGGGCTTTCAAAATCAGACATTGCTCTTTACTGCTTGAACTTCTCTCTCTTGTCTTCCCAATTCCTTCCATTCCTTCTCTATAGTCTCTCATTCTCCTACTATTTCCTTTGTTCCAGCTCCCTCAATTTCCATTCTTTTCTCTTCACTTTTTCTGTTTCTTTAAATCAAACACCCAAATCCAATTGCAGATCCCAGCCCTCATTCCCTTGTGGTTTGGTCTGACTGAGTCTCTGGGGACTGTTCTGATGTGGTCTTATTCACATGACTGCTGAGCCATAGATATCTGAGCAGGAACATATGGAGTAGAAGTGATTAGGGGGTGCTATTTCTGTATACGGGATTCCTGGAATACCCTGTCCAGTACTGGGGCCCACAATTAAAAAAATATGTTGAAATATTACAAAGGGTTCAGAAAAGAATAATTTGTCATCTGGAAATCCTGCTTTACAGTGAAACACAAAAGTTTAATCTGTTTAATTATCCAAGGGTAGGTGAAGAGGTAACTTGACTACAATCTGTAAGTACTTGCATGGGAAGAAGATTTCTGATCATGGACTGCTCTTCATTCTATGGCATAAAGGCATAATGAGATCCAATGGTTACAATCTGAATTTAGACTAATTCACACTAAAAATAAGATACAACTTTTTAACAGTGAGCATAATTACCCACTGAAACAACTTCCCTTGGGATGTGATGGATTCTTCAACATCTGGAACCCACAAAGCAGGATTGTCTATCTTGATATGCTTTAACTGAGCCAGATGCTGTAGGTTAGGTGCAGGAATTAGTAGATGCAATTCTCTGGCCTGTGCTATTTGGGAGGTCAGACTAGACGATAATAATGGTTCCTCGTTGGTCTTAAAATATATGTATCTGTGAATATATGAGATTTCTGTGCTGCTATGTGTTGCAGGTGGATGCCTGCAGTTTATGGATCAACCTTTAAAACTGCGTGGCCAGCAGGGGTCATCTTTGAGCATCCCCTGCCAAATGAAAGACACCATGCACTCTGCCATGGAGTGGTACCATCAGGCAGAGGGAGGCAATGAGCTAGAAGCTCTCTTCCTTTCCTCAGACAAAGAGACAATCACACCATACATGGATCTAGTCTACATGGTGATTAGAACTTCCATGAAGTACTTTGTCTGAATTCCCCAGCTGACACTGCATCATTCAGCCATGTATTTCTGTGCCTGCAGCAAATCACAATGTGAAGGAGCTGTGAGGATGTGCAAGAAAAATGAGACAGAGAGGGGAGAAGAGAGCGGAGGTCCCCAACCTAACCCAGTCCCCTGCAGCTGCCATTCCCTCTGAGTGTGGATCACCTGAGAGACAGACGAACAGGGCTGTCTGCAACATCTCTCCATTCTCTGTAGAGGGCACTGAACTACTATTAAGAATTTCTGAAATTAATACTCAAATTTGGCATCCAATCAGCTTGTAGTGAGGATGATTTCAAGTAGGGAGGCCATTCTATATCATGAAGAGTCAAGATTTACCCAGAAGGGCTCTTGAAGACTTTGGAAACAGGAGACGGCTTGTTGATGACAGGAACCACAACTTGTAAAGCTCCATTATTCATAGAGCAGGGAAGTGGCAGTTGATGGTATCAGCTAAAGCAGAGAGACAGAAACCACGAGGGTGGAAGATAGGTGCATAAGGAGAATGTGGCTCTGAATTTCAAACAGGGAATGACCCTTGACATTTAATGCAAATCAGGGGTTAAGAGAAGAAATGCTCAGTGGACTTGGATATGAGTGTGCATAAATGCCACTGGTGTATACCATGTCTGAGAGAGCTGCCCAGACAGTGTTATTTCTGCTGTAGCAGTATATCCTTATAAGCTCAGCAATGTTGTCTTCCCATTGGTGCACATGGTGCTGGAGATGTAGTAAATAGATAGAGTCAATCCAAATGAACAGAAATCATCCCCATAGCACAGAGCTGATCCATTCGGAAACAAACCTAGAAAGAAGACAAGGACCTATTCTCAGGAAGGTCCATCTACACGACTGGTGCAAGCGTAAGAGGTGTAGGGCATCCACGTGGCAACTGAGTGTGACACTACAGGAGTCACCAGCACATCCACTAAGAATCCCCACCAGCACCAATATCTGCTGTGGTCCAAGGGAAGCTGCCTTTTCCCTTTTATCTGCTGCCCTTGTGGGGAATCGTGTTTAATTCAGCTCAGATCACACGTCATTGTGGAGGCCATGGTACAGTTCTACAGCATGCACAAAAACTGAGCATCCCCCATTCAGTCCATTGTGTCCCAGTTGGTGGGCTCTTTTTCTTGTGTAACTCGCATGCTTTTGCAATGACTCATCTACCCTCCATACTTTTGCCAAGTTTGCACCATATGCATAATGACATAATAGATGTGTGTGCATATAGATCCCATCGGCTCCTGCTGTGCAGCACTGCAGGAGCCGAAGGAATCTATATGCACTGGGGGGAGGGATAGCTCAGTGGTTTGAGCATTGGCCTGCTAAACCCAAGGTTGTGAGTTCAATCCTTGAGGGGGCCATCTAGGGGTCTGGTGCAAAAAATTGGGGATTGGCCCTGCTTTGAGCAGGGGGTTGGACAAGATGACCTCCTGAGGTCCCTTCCAGTCCTGATATCCTATGGACAGGACAGACAAGGTGGCCTGTGAGAATGCATTGTGTGTGTGCATGAGTGCAAATGAAATTGTCACTGTTCCCTAGGGGAGGGCATGTGCCTGAGCTCTTCAAGTTTTCTTAGTTCCCTCTACTGTCCAGGTGGGAAGAGCTGCTCCTCTTAATCTGGCAGTGTCACACCGAAAGAGCAGGTGCTCTGGGCTGGGCTTAATACATTTATCAACACTGATACCTCTGGCCACACCTGTTTACCACACACAAGGGATGTGTAAATTGTATCCCCACCCCACCCTACCCCGCCCCTCTCCCAGGCTCTGCAAACATCCCACAAATGCTTTCCTGTGCAGATACTGAGAGGGTCATGGGGATTCTGCAGCTCCTCTCTCTGCTAATGGGGCTGCTGGCCACTGCCCCCTCAGGTGAGACTGGGGCTCCCTGCAGTAGCCACCTGGGTGGGGTCAGGCTCCCTGGAGAAGTTCATCATCCTATGGGGCATTCCCCTTTGTCTTTCAGGTGCAGAGGGCAGATTAGTGGAGCAGTCATCCCTATATTTAATGGTGCGGTTGGGAGCATCAGAGTCAGTGTCCTGCACCTTGAAAGACACAACCTACCCCTGGATGAGCTGGTACCTGCAGGATGCCCAAGGCCAGATGCACTTCCTGGAATCTTTAAGAAGCAAAGGTGATACTGGTAACACATCCAGGATGGGAACATCCTATCAGACGAAACGGGTCAGTGATACAGAGCTCAGGCTGGAGATGAAGAATGTGACTCAGTCCCAGATCATCTACTGCACCTGCAGCAAAGAGCACAGTGAGAGAACAGAGCAGAGATGGTGACAAAAACCTTCCTTCATTCAGGGATATCTATCCCACTGGGGGAATTTAAACCCAGCACCAGGAGTCTGAAACCAAGAGGCTCCGGGGGAACTGGTCAGTTATCCAGCAGGAGGGAGATGAGCTAACACCAATAGTGCAGAGACCCTTCAAGGGAGACCCCTTGTCAGTCAGGGAAACTGTTATCCTTCCCATCATCATCAGTCCCCATCACACATCTCTCCCCACTGTACACACTGCTAACTCTCTCCCTCACAGGCTCCCCACAAACAGGACACACCTGCACTCCGGTTATGTGTGTTCTCTTCCTTTCCTACTCACTCTCATCAGCTGTGCCAGCCCGTCTCTAGAGGGAGCCATGATCACACACACACTAACCGGAGTACACTGAGCAGAGTCCTTTGCCTCCATTTCTCACCTTGTGGCAGAGCCATAACTAAGCATTTTAACACCTGGGGCAAGCAAACATATTTGCGCCCCCTACAGGCAACACATGGGGGATCATGCAGGGTCATGTGCACCCCTCAGATTTCTGCTTTCCATTTAGCACAGAGGTTTTCAAACTCTGGGGTCCGCCTTTCTAGGGGGACGTGCACCACAATTTGAAAACTGTTGCTGCCTGCCAGGAGCCAGGCAAAAACTGCTTCTGATAGATTTTTGCTACCTGTAGCAGCTACTGATATCTGTGGGTGTTCTCTTTTGCTACGTTGTCACAATTTGCTACCACTTTCCTTTATCATTGTTTCAGTGATAACAAATTGTGATGTATGGAATACAACAGCCACAATTTGCAACCTCTCACCTTCCCCATCCTCTGGTCCAGGAATAGCAAATTGTGACAGGACATCAACCATCCCATCAAATTTGCTACCACTAAATCAGAGGATGACAAAGGTAAGACGTAGCAGTTGTGATGGATGGTTGATACGGATCCATGGTGCACCGCACTCTGAATCAATACAAGCACTCCTGGTGAGTACACTCACCACAGACACAAGGAACCAAATAGGCACATGCACAAGTGACATACTAACTGTGGCGACTGTATGCTGATATAACTTGACCTAACATAGATTTGTAGTGTAGATGTGGCCATAGGTATATGAATTATTTGGGAGAGGTAACAGCAAAACTATGAGGCTAGGCCAAGACTCATTCAGGGGTTTAGACTCCTACTTTTGTGGATCTGGGCCTCCTGTACCCTAAAGGCTCAGGAACAAAAGGGCTCCAAAAAAAAAAAAAAAAACCCCTCAGTATCATTTATTTCTCTTTTTGACTGTCATGATTTGGGGTTGTATAACTCATTATTTTTGAATTCTTGTTGTCAAGCAATCTCGGGTT